CCAGAGGAGAAAATACACCTTTAGGTAAAAATGCTACATATGACATACACTTGAAACACCACAAACTAGACTGTGAACCATATGTACTATAATTACAGGCCACGTTCCTTTTTTTCTGTTGAGGACTGTGCTTCAGGATTACTTTGAAGAAATTAATCACTTCCTGCTTGTATGTAACTGTTAAATCTCCTGTTTAGAGAGTTGGACAGGAATCACTGACCTGTACCGAGACACTCATTAGAGTTAGATGTACTGTAGGTTAATCCATTCATGTTGCATTATTGCTCGAGACCAAGTGACTGTGACGTCGCACTAACAACAACAGCCGCTTCCAGGTAGACAACTAGCAATTGATTTTAATTGTGATGATATGTAAAATCAGAAAACTTGTTAATTTCTGTCGTCATTTCAATCATAACTGTAACTTTTATATGGTGGCCCAACCTATCTGGTGTTTGTCTTGGCCTAAATTCATGTTGCTTTGCTAGCGTCTTTAATAAACCAAATCTACCAGCACGGAAGCTAAGCAACATACTACTATGGATGGGGTTCACATCTAAGTGTATTTTAGCTACCTGAAAAGAAAAAAAATAATACCAGTTTAAGTGTATGCTGTATTAAGAATATAAACCGGTTGAGGCAGCATTTGCTTAGCACCATTTTATTTTATGTATGCGACAATTTAGTCTAAAAAAGAAGTGGCCTTGGTCACCATGACATCACCCATTAGTTTATGGAATACCGTTTTAAGGACTTCAGTTTGTGTGTTTGGGCCATGCCTTCGCTAACCCAGGAAACACAAATTTGCCTCGAGTTTGGCATTTTGACCGTCGCCATCTTGGTTGTTTTTTTGTTTTTTTTGAGCCAGTGGTGACCATATTTGGAGCCAGGGGTAGATCTGACTGAGAACCCCAGGAGCAACTTGTCACAAGGTAGCCACGCCCCAAAGCAAACCTGCTTTACAGTCTACTTAACTCTAAATGGGACAATAATTTACAAAATGCTGTTTTGAAGAAGACTTGAAACCAGCGACTGAGACCATAAATTCATCAGGAAAATGTCGGGTCATTTTTGTCACTGACTTAAGTACAATCAAACTTCTTTTTGTGGCCAGCGGAGTTGCTCCCAGATGACCACTGTTTTGGATTAAAGGGTTAAAGTTTGGTTCATGAGCAACATTGGAACATATTTATAAAATACGACCTGACAGATTTTGTCTAGGATTGAACGTTTAAGTCCTGGACTCATTTCCGTCACTGACCCCAGAATTTTTACAGTCCGTTTATGACAATAAGAAACACAGAATTATATTCTAAACAAGCAGTATATGATTACATATAGCCTAGTGTGATTTAATCCCAGCCTGAAATAAAACACAACAGGAAAGAAGTAAAGAAACATTGCAGAGAATTTAGCTCTCATTTATCTCCATCACACAAACAGCTTGAGATAATTCATTATTAATTAACCCGTCCCTCCATTTTCCAAAAAGCCTTTAAAACACAGGCTTCCTTCTGGAGGTGTTGAGGCCAGTGTTTAATTTTCTCTGGTGACATGTGAGATGTGTTTTCTACTCCTGCTGCTTTATGGCCAATAATCTGAAACCATGCGATAAATGTCAAGGTGATGTTGCGCCTCTAAGTGGACCTTTGAGTGATGATGCATAGAAATACACTTAAAGTGGATTTCTCCTTCATTTAGGTGTGACTGTAGACAAAAAGCATAAGGTGCGTTGCAGCTAAAAATAGCAGTGGTGTTGCCCACATTTCCAGTTCCTGTGGCTGGTGTCCCCTCTCAAACCATTTGCTCACTTCTTCTACTCTATGGTTTCCTCCAGCCTGCTGCCCAGCCCTGACAGTGTGTGAGGGAGTGTGATGGAGATGATGGGAAGTCAGGCTCCACCACCAGCATCATAACTGTACCAGGACTTCATTTAATATTCAGTCAAACGCTTCCTCATTTGAAGGATATGCGTGAACTTTCTCGGATATGATGCAGCCAACACTGCAGATACTTGGAAAGGATGTTGATTCAAAACGCAGCCCAGTGAGCTGACCGTGTTTGGGATGTTTTTCTCAGCATCACGACTCGGGATAAACACGAAGAGATCTTTATCAACCAGCAAAATGGCGGCTTTGCGTGGCTGATCCCACAATCTATCATCTAGATTCCTCTGAAGTGATGCAGCAGGCCCCTGCGCTCACCGTTTTTCACGCACGGATACGACACACCTGCGCTCCTCCTCTGTCCTGCTCTCCGGTCATTTCAGCCCTACACACACATCTCTCTCACACACACACGGGTCGTTTCTGAATAACCGTCACCTGAAATAAGATCAGCGGCAGGCTGTTATGCGCAATAGTGCGTGATGTGTTTGTGTTATTTATCACAGCGGGTGGTGAAGGGAAGCGGGGACAAAGGGAGCGGGGATGGGATGCACATTCACCGCATTATGAAGCAGACTTTTTCTCTATGCGTAAAACTGACCAGGCTCGTGCGTCCCGGGGTTGTCGGACATCTCCAGCACCAGCAGCTCGCGGCCCTCGAAGCTCTCCCCGATGGTGTAGATGCGGGTGATGGTCGGGCACTGCAGCCACACCGACACCAGCGCCTTCCGCAGCTCCTCATAGCGGTGGTACTCGAAGGAGATCTCGCCCTCCGTTCCGGCTGCGCTGACCAGGGCCACCACTGCGGCCCCGAATAAAACTACCGAAGTGAACAGCTTCATTTTGGCGTGTCCTCTTTTCCCTAAGCCCTGTCTGTCCGCCTGCCTGCGGCTCGGTCCCAAGCCTTATCTCTGTGCTGCAGCCTTGCTTTAGGCTATAAATATCTCTCCCTCTGCTGCTCCCTGTCTCTCTCTCCTTCTGTCCGTGTGTGATGCGCTGCTGTACCTGAGCGCAGAGCCTTCTACTGTCAAACCACACACAAGATCCACACATCCGGTAACAACTTTCAAAATAAAGAGTTATTTTCCTCCCAGAGATGAACAGCAGAAGGCGTTTATTTGTATTTAAAGATAAAAGCCAATAATATCAATAATATTCAAGATATTCATAAAATTCAGGAAAAGGGAAATTCATATTCATAAAATAAATTCTATAGCTAAAGTTGAGAGAAGATAAAACCTTTTTTATCCCCAGGGAAATTGTTGTGCAGCAGTTTCAATACAAAGTAGGAAAGAGTGCAAATCTAAAATATAACATGAAATATCAATAAGGTGCAAATCCAAAGCATGCACAAAACCAAAATATACACTGGTTAATGGTAAGGTGCAGATCTAATGCCTGAAAATAAACATCTAAGGAATATTTGGAGCAGGACAGACAATGAAGGACAGTCTGTATAGAAGACAAAAGAGACCAATATAATAATAATAATAATAATAATAATACCAATAATACTAACAATGATAATAATAAAAATAATAAATAGAGAAAATATATGAATGTGAAAAAGCCATTCATTTGTTAAAATGCAGTGTTATTATTTAATGTTATTTCTTTGTGCTCATCATTAGGGAAACTTGTAACTAACTGGCTTTGCTCTGTTTGTCTTGATGACACAAAAAGACTGTGGTGAAAATAGGTACTATGAAATAAAATGGCCACTGGAGAAAACAACAGATTTTTTTTTTTTTTTTAAAAAGGATATTTTGAAATGAAAACTGCTGAAGATAAATAGAAATAAAATAATAAAAATAAAATGTGTTGCAGTAAACTGTGTTTATGTGAAAGAAAGAGATAACTGTAGCCTACATAACTATGATCTGAATAATATTCTGTTTCACAATGTCATGGTTATATAGGCCTAACATTTTTTTAATATTGAACAGATTGGGCCTCCATAGAGCTATTGTCTATTTACCTTTGCTTTTATAAGAATTGGTTTTAAAGATGTTATCAAATCTTATATCCTACAAAAGGGGGCTGCAAAAACACAAGAAATACTCAGGAGCTACAGATAGGATTCTTTTTCCAAATGTGCATTTTTAGTCTGTCATGGTTCCTTTGTGTTCTTTGAAAAAGGTAATTAAATTTGGCTGCAACCATCAATTAATTATCAGTCATCAATCAACAGAAAAAAAAAAGTTATTAACTATTTCTGTATTTCTCAAGACAAAAAAAGCCAAATAATAGTGAGTTTCAGCCTGGCAAATGTTAAGATTTGTTGATGATTTGTAACTAAAAAAGTAAAGATTTCACCTTAGGCTCAGGGTAATTGTTGGTATTTGTCACTATTTTCAGATGTCTCAATCACTGAACAGTCATTTATTTGAAAAATAATCAACAGATTCAATTGTACTGAAAATTACAACTGTATAGTAAACCACAATCGTAATTATTTTTGTAGTGATTGTCTCAAAGGTAAGGAAAAAAAAAGAAGTAAATTCATTTTATAAAAAAGGAGTCCAAATATCAATACTGCTAATGGAAATTAAATCCTACAACACAAAATAAAGCCCGACTTACATATGATAAAGTAATTCATTTGATTAATTGTATTTATTAATTTATTTCAGTTTGTTTGAAGATGTTACCCACTCATTTACTCCTGTGTTTTTTAACTAAGTTCTGGTCCTCACTTCCTGTCTGGTCCCTGCTGCTGCTGGCTGACTTGACGCCTCTGTGTGTGCTGGATGGGGCAGCAGCAGGGGTGTGTCCACAGTGCAGCAGAGAGGAGATGGAGGGAACCTACAGCATATACACTCGCGAAATCATCCACTTCCTCCATCAGCCCACACATAACAGTGTCTACAGAGAAGTAACACCAACACTCACAGTGAAGATTCAGATCTGTCATGTTAGAAATATCTGAGCCTGAAAAGCCATTGGTCCCATTCTGTGTAGAAATGTGTCCATATGTCAATATCTTATTAAAACAGTCATGATCTATCAGCATAACATTTCTTTTGGTATCATATTTTGTCCAGAAACTGCTCAACACAACCAAAGTCCAGTTCCAATTTGTTGATAAAGGCAGACAAATAAAGCATTTTCATGTTTCTTTTTGTAAAACCAAAACCTTTATTCACTTATTTGTACAGTCTTAAACAAAATAGGCTTAAACAACCTCAAAGTGCCCTATGAGCCGATCCCTTATCATCAAAAAATTTACATTGATTCGCATCAAACATGCAGACTCGAGTTTAGGCAGTCCCCACTGAACTGCAGCTAAAACACAATGTCACTCTGACTCAGTTAAACTCGAGAGGAAGCGCTAAAGTGCTCAGACATTCAGAGGTATACAGAAGAATTTCACAAGAGAGTCATATGGTACAAACTTCAGTGACCAAGCAAAGCAACAAATCAAAATGAGGATGTTGATGGTTTTTATTCAGCCAGCAGCTGTTGACAGAAGAAGACAAAAGTACTTCTTTTGCAGAAAGGCACAGAAGTCGGACTGAAGTCAACACGCAGTCCGGTTCAGAATCAAACCCACAGCAGCTCTGATTCATTCAAAGTACACTTTTAGTGTGTGTGTGAGGAAGAGTTCGTGTGTCTGCAGAGCTCCCTTCTCCTCCTGACAGACCAGGTGAGTGTATGAGCAGAGGCACAGAGTGGTTTACTGCTCCTTCTTGTCTCCCTGTTTCTGCATGTACTTGTTGTACTGGTTGTCCGTCTTCAGCAGCTTGTCCCACCAGGTGAAGGTGGAGGCGTAGTTCCCCACGAAGTTCATGTGGTGGAAGTCGTGGAAGCGGGTGCCAGCGTAGAACGGGATCAGGTGGAGCGGGTTCAGAGGGATATCGTAACCACTGAGAAGGTGCAAGACACGCACAAAAAAAGGGGATTAAAGGCTGTCATTCAGAGAAATCACCAAATCAAAATCCTTCCCACAAGGCAAATGGTTTTCAAATGAGGCAAAATGATGTTTTGATAATGGTTAGACTGAAGATAGGATGCATTTACAGTATTTTCGTACTATGACTTCGCCCTTTTATGTTAAATACTGTTTCACTGTTAGCTATAATACATTTTTGACGTGATAATGAAAGAAAATCTGGTTTTGTTTTATTTTAGAGTGCCTGATGGCAAAAAAGGCAAGAAAATGGTGCAAATCATGGCCAAGTCTGGAAAAATGTTGGAATAATTTATGTTTATTTATGAATTATTATTTCATATTTCTGTTTATTTTACCCCTGTCTCCCTTGTTATGTGTATTGTTCTAAATTTTATAACTTTTGTGAGTTATGTACAGTACAGGCCAAAAGTTTGGACACACCTTCTCATTCAATGCGTTTTCTTTATTTTCATGACTATTTACATTGTAGATTCTCACTGAAGGCATCAAAACTATGAATGAACACATGTGGAGTTATGTACTTAACAAAAAAAGGTGAAATAACTGAAAACATGTTTTATATTCTAGTTTCTTCAAAATAGCCACCCTTTGCTCTGATTACTGCTTTGCACACTCTTGGCATTCTCTCCATGAGCTTCAAGAGGTAGTCACCTGAAATGGTTTCCACTTCACAGGTGTGCCTTATCAGGGTTAATTAGTGGAATTTCTTGCTTTATCAATGGGGTTGGGACCATCTGTTGTGTTGTGCAGAAGTCAGGTTAATACACAGCCGACAGCCCTATTGGACAACTGTTAAAATTCATATTATGGCAAGAACCAATCAGCTAACTAAAGAAAAACGAGTGGCCATCATTACTTTAAGAAATGAAGGTCAGTCAGTCCGGAAAATTGCAAAAACTTGAAATGTGTCCCCAAGTGGAGTCGCAAAAACCATCAAGCGCTACAACGAAACTGGCACACATGAGGACCGACCCAGGAAAGGAAGACCAAGAGTCACCTCTGCTTCTGAGGATAAGTTCATCCGAGTCACCAGCCTCAGAAATTGCAAGTTAACAGCAGCTCAGATCAGAGACCAGATGAATGCCACACAGAGTTCTAGCAGCAGACCCATCTCTAGAACAACTGTTAAGAGGAGACTGCGCCAATCAGGCCTTCATGGTCAAATAGCTGCTAGGAAACCACTGCTAAGGAGAGGCAACAAGCAGAAGAGATTTGTTTGGGCCAAGAAACACAAGGAATGGACATTAGACCAGTGGAAATCTGTGCTTTGGTCTGATGAGTCCAAATTTGAGATCTTTGGTTCCAACCGCCGTGTCTTTGTGAGACGCAGAAAAGGTGAACGGATGGATTCCACATGCCTGGTTCCCACTGTGAAGCATGGAGGAGGAGGTGTGATGGTGTGGGGGTGTTTTGCTGGTGACACTGTTGGGGATTTATTCAAAATTGAAGGCACACTGAACCAGCATGGCTACCACAGCATCCTGCAGCGACATGCCATCCCATCCGGTTTGCGTTTAGTTGGACGATCATTTATTTTTCAACAGGACAATGACCCCAAACACACCTCCAGGCTGTGTAAGGGCTATTTGACCAAGAAGGAGAGTGATGGAGTGCTGCGGCAGATGACCTGGCCTCCACAGTCACCGGACCTGAACCCAATCCAGATGGTTTGGGGTGAGCTGGACCGCAGAGTGAAGGCAAAGGGGCCAACAAGTGCTAAACACCTCTGGGAACTCCTTCAAGACTGTTGGAAAACCATTTCAGGTGACTACCTCTTGAAGCTCATGGAGAGAATGCCAAGAGTGTGCAAAGCAGTAATCAGAGCAAAGGGTGGCTATTTTGAAGAAACTAGAATATAAAACATGTTTTCAGTTATTTCACCTTTTTTTGTTAAGTACATAACTCCACATGTGTTCATTCATAGTTTTGATGCCTTCAGTGAGAATCTACAATGTAAATAGTCATGAAAATAAAGAAAACGCATTGAATGAGAAGGTGTGTCCAAACTTTTGGCCTGTACTGTATATATGTAAAGAATTAATTTAAAATTGTAATATAGAAACAGTAGGTTATTTAACATAAAATAATAATGAATTGAGTAAAGTAAGAAAATCACAGAAAGATATGAAATATAAAGTATATTTTAAAAAAAGTATGTGTTTTAAAAGACTTAATTTTTTTAAAAAAAGCTAACTTGTCTGATGAAACAATGTAGGGCTACTAATTGTGCTACTGCTCATTCCAACAGAAAGTCTTTTTTTATGTATATGTGGAAAAGTCTTCAGTATAAATGTAGGTATGTATGTAATCCAAAAAATAATAGCAAATATAAATGTGTTATAATATAAAGTATCTCAAGAGACAGGAGCTCTGTGTGACCTGATAATGTGACAGTGACATCTGGTGTTCTCTGTGGCCCTCTAGTGGTCGACCTCACAGGTTACTGACATCATAAAAAAGGTTTCTCTTTCAACCATCATCTGTCTCACTGTTTGTTGTAATCAGTGCTGTAATTGCTGCTTTGCTTCTCCAGTGCTCAAAACAATTGTTTGCTCTCTTTAGAGTCACAGTAATAAACTGTATAATATACAGTACAGGCCAAAAGTTTGGACACACCTTCTCATTCAATGTGTTTTCTTTATTTTCATGACTATTTACATTGTAGATTCTCACTGAAGGCATCAAAACTATGAATGAACACATGTGGAGTTATGTACTTAACAAAAAAAGGTGAAATAACTGAAAACATGTTTTATATTCTAGTTTCTTCAAAATAGCCACCCTTTGCTCTGATTACTGCTTTGCACACTCTTGGCATTCTCTCCATGAGCTTCAAGAGGTAGTCACCTGAAATGGTTTTCCAACAGTCTTGAAGGAGTTCCCAGAGGTGTTTAGCACTTGTTGGCCCCTTTGCCTTCACTCTGCGGTCCAGCTCACCCCAAACCATCTCGATTGGGTTCAGGTCCAGTGACTGTGGAGGCCAGGTCATCTGCCGCAGCACTCCATCACTCTCCTTCTTGGTCAAATAGCCCTTACACAGCCTGGAGGTGTGTTTGGGGTCATTGTCCTGTTGAAAAATAAATGATCGTCCAACTAAACGCAAACCGGATGGGATGGCATGTCGCCGCAGGATGCTGTGGTAGCCATGCTGGTTCAGTGTGCCTTCAATTTTGAATAAATTCCCAACAGTGTCACCAGCAAAACACCCCCACACCATCACACCTCCTCCTCCATGCTTCACAGTGGGAACCAGGCATGTGGAATCCATCCGTTCACCTTTTCTGCGTCTCACAAAGACACGGCGGTTGGAACCAAAGATCTCAAATTTGGACTCATCAGACCAAAGCACAGATTTCCACTGGTCTAATGTCCATTCCTTGTGTTTCTTGGCCCAAACAAATCTCTTCTGCTTGTTGCCTCTCCTTAGCAGTGGTTTCCCAGCAGCTATTTGACCATGAAGGCCTGATTCGCGCAGTCTCCTCTTAACAGTTGTTGTAGAGATGGGTCTGCTGCTAGAACTCTGTGTGGCATTCATCTGGTCTCTGATCTGAGCTGCTGTTAACTTGCCATTTCTGAGGCTGGTGACTCGGATGAACTTATCCTCAGAAGCAGAGGTGACTCTTGGTCTTCCTTTCCTGGGTCGGTCCTCATGTGTGCCAGTTTCGTTGTAGCGCTTGATGGTTTTTGCGACTCCACTTGGGGACACATTTAAAGTTTTTGCAATTTTCCGGACTGACTGACCTTCATTTCTTAAAGTAATGATGGCCACTCGTTTTTCTTTAGTTAGCTGATTGGTTCTTGCCATAATATGAATTTTAACAGTTGTCCAATAGGGCTGTCGGCTGTGTATTAACCTGACTTCTGCACAACACAACCGATGGTCCCAACCCCATTGATAAAGCAAGAAATTCCACTAATTAACCCTGATAAGGCACACCTGTGAAGTGGAAACCATTTCAGGTGACTACCTCTTGAAGCTCATCGAGAGAATGTCAAGAGTGTGCAAAGCAGTAATCAGAGCAAAAGGTGGCTATTTTGAAGAAACTAGAATATAAAACATGTTTTCAGTTATTTCACCTTTTTTTGTTAAGTACATAACTCCACATGTGTTCATTCATAGTTTTGATGCCTTCAGTGAGAATCTACAATGTAAATAGTCATGAAAATAAAGAAAACGCATTGAATGAGAAGGTGTGTCCAAACTTTTGGCCTGTACTGTAGCTCCATTTCTACCTGCAGCAAGAGGAGGAAAGAGGCAGCAAAAAGCTAAATGACCCAGAGAAAATGTGTCCTACCTGTGGACATCGATGGTCTCCAGCAGGCGGAACGACACCCAGGCCCACAGGAAGAACACGTGGTTGCAGAAGATCATGATGCCGATGAAGAAACCAGCTCCCAGGATGATAGTTTCAGCAGGATGAGCGTATTCGGCCTGCATGCCGAACGGAGCCTGAGGGACGGCAGAGACACCGTGTTTGTGTTTGTGTGGTCACTTTTTCACGTGTGAGAGCTGCAGTATCGTTAATAAGTAACTCTACTGTAAAGAGATCAAACAGAGAGTGGTGTGTTTTTATCTTATCATGTGTGTGTGTTTTACTCACGGTGAACTCATGGTGGACTTTGTGGATGTACTTGTAGATCCTGCGGTGATGCAGCAGGCGATGGAGGAAGTAGTGCCAGGTGTCTTCGACAACAGCACAGCCGAAGCACTGAGCCAAGACGTATGGCCTGGAGGAAACAAAGACGATAGGTGGATCATCGTTAGAAAAACACACTGGAACAAATAGCCTTTTTTTTTTTTAGACAAAATTCAATTGATATGTTATCGTTTTCATCCCACAGCGGACAAATTGTGACCAGATAAAAGGTGAGTTTGCAACATGTGACAGAAACATAAACGATCATTCATACACAACCTGTATGGGTAAGAAAAATAAAAAGCATATTGAATTTAATTGTTCACTTTTTTGTAAAGCATTTCACTGCTTTTGTGTATAAAAGCTGCTACATCAGTAAATGTATTAGAGTGGAGACCTCTTATAGTGATCATGTCTGTCCAGGTCAAACTGATCATTATAAGTGATTTATTGTTATAGCTATTTTTTTCTTTGTTTCTCATGCAGATTACCATCTTACTGATATATTTACTACATCAATATAAAGTCATGAATCGCAGCTTCACTATTCACTGAATATTATTGACTGTTTTCCCTCACCAGGGCCGGCTTTACATGACCAGGCATTATCAGTCCACTTAGTCTCGCTCACCAGACCTTTCTCAAGAAAAGAAAGGTCTGGCTGGGCCGACTCTCACTTTAAGATTGGAGAAAAAAACGCCCCAGATGCTTGTATTTCTTTCAACCAATCACAATCGTTCTAGGCGGTGCCACAGCAACTGTGCGCTTGCAAAAATATTGCCAGGGGGAAACATGTTTTGGTGTAACATGCCCACAAAAATATCGCCTACAGGACGCGAACCATGGCAGAAAAATGGCTATATCCCCACAAGATCAAACACCGCAAAAGTTAGTAAAGGACATGTTGAAAATGGCTGAAAACTGCTACACAACCGGAGGTAGTAGGGCGGGACTTCAGCGGGTGGCTCGTTCCGCCCAATGAGAGGCTGATCTCTGCAGCGAACTTCCGCCCACTCAGACTACAATCCACTTAACAAGGGCAGCTTTAACCACAGGTGTTTCACTGTATGCATTCGTTTTCTGTCTCTAAAACTAGAGGCCATGACTGTTTTTTGTTGCTTGAGTAGACTACATAAAGTAGCCTGAAGAGTGCCAGGTTTCACTGCTGCGTCTCGTTGGTTCGTTTGTGGCAGTTTGTCATAAACTTTGAGGACACTACATTTTTTAAATGAGAGAAAATGACTTTCTTTTTCCCATCATGATTTCAGTGTCGTGCAGGTAGCCAGCTGGAAGCAGATGGGTTACCGTGAGGGAAGTATCATGGAAGTTAAGTTAAAAAAAAAAGAAAATAGAATCACTGTATTTTTAAGATTTTTTTTCCATATGTTGTCATTTATTTAAACAGCATTTGTACAGGAATGACTCTGTTCCAGGCCTTTTGATCTGTATTAGTGTTTGTCCACTGTGCCCATAAAGGGGTTTCAATAATATCATTAGTGTTATCTTTTTAAAATATGTTCTTGAAATTGATGATTAAAAGTAAACTGTAATTAAAAACTAACAAAACTATTTGTTCAACTGTTTCTTTTACACGTATGATGAGTTTTGTCTGATGTGGTCAATAAAATAGGTTTCATAGCTTCAAATCTGTATTTGATCATTTTATGTGTTATTTTATCTGCATTTCTCATATTGTGATACATATTGCAATAATATTCTTAATATTGTAATATTAAGCCATATTTCCAGTCCCTGTGCATTAATTTAAACAAAATGGTTTGACTGTGTTGTGTAAGCGGAACTGAGATTAGTTTTCTTTTTTGTTTGCTTTACTGCCTATGAAGACATAAGGGATGAACCTTTCAGTAAAATTACCCCCATCATGTTGATTTGTTTTAATTGGACAGCCATAAAAAATCTGAGTTATGTTTTAGAGGAGGAACTTTTTTGAAGCAAGAATTTGTTTGCCGGGCCTGGGACAGCACTTTGGACTGATCACTGCAATGATATTGTGATGGTGTCTCGTGAACCCACGAGGGTCAAGCACATGTTTGTGTGCATGACACCAAAAAGAAATCAGTCAATCAATCAATCAATGAGCATCTGTCTGGATGATGTGCAACAAATAGGCACCTTTATATTTACTGTAAACAATTCTAATGACCTTAAAAGATTTAACATGTAAAGCAGATTCACAACCATATATTTTCTATCCTTCAGCAGACTGATGAAGGCATCATGGCGAATGTGAGAGCTGTGTCATTCATTTTAAGGCTGTGCAGAGCATCACTTTAATTCTACAGCTGTCAAATTTCTATCACCATCATAGTTCACACAGGCATAGGTTAGATTTAAATGTCATGCTAAAGAAACAAAACTATTACTGAGTCTTTGTTGTATCCACGTCCTGTTTTTCAAAGCGGCAAATGCAAGTGTGTTGCAGTTATATAACTACTCTACTCTATAGTATCTGGGGTGATTTGAATATGATGTGTTCAGGTAACACACCTGAACGCATCATATTCATTCTTATTCTTATTGTACTTCCACTGACCAGCGTGGCATGGAGTCCCAGTCGTAGGGGATGTTAAAGAACTCGGTGAAGTAGTAGGTCCCACAGATCAACGGCAGCTGGATACAGAAGTGGTTAAACAGCAGCATCTTGAAACATCTCCACTGTTTCTCCCAGGTCTCTGGCTTGTCCTGTACACACACACACACACACACACACACACAAACAGAAGGTCTTTTAGGAGAACTGTCATCTTAGATTTTGAAAATAAAATTATAACAACCTAAAGCCCCACAAACCTGTTGGATCTTGTATTTCTGCATGAAGGGCATGAACTGGAAGAGAAAACCAGGCAGGCAGAACAGGAAGTAGATGAACTCATGGACGATGAGCGACCCCCAGGTGGCAATCTGGAATTTGGTGTAGTTGTCCAGCATGTAGCCCCAGGCGTGTTTCAGGGAGGGCTGGAAGGGGTTCTCTGGCAGCACCCCATCAACGTACTCCACTGCCAGGTAGGCAGAGCTCAAAATGTCTGCCGTGCCGTTCACCTCCATGATGGACAGGTCTGCAGGTCCAGAGAGAAGACTGGAAACAGGAACACAGAGTTACATGTACAACTCTCAGACAGGACGTATCATCACAGCTATCATTACGTCACTCATGTTGGAACACTGCGAGTTTGTCTCACAAACAAACACGTTAATGAAATAGTTTATTCTAATAAATATAGCAGAAAAACTGCAAAAGAAAAACAATAAGTCGTCAAAGTCTGTAGAGGAACGTAAATGTTATAAAACAATAAACCTTTACGCTCATTAAAATCCAAAAACAATTTACAATGTGTACTAATTATAAATCCACCAAATGATCAGAAGCTTTAGTTTGCAGCACATATTCAGTCCTTGACAGAGTTATTGTCGTTGTCACCACATCTAAATGTAATGCCTACTCATTATATAGATATCAGTACATTTGAAACAATTTTCATGATATACAAATACAATGAAAACATAACCAAACATGACTGAACTTGCAGAAATCCATCAATCTAAGTTTTAAATGACAGTTTCAAATCATAACTACACTACAATTTTAGATGTTTTGAACAAAAAAAAACATGAATGATCAGTAAATTACATTTAGTAGACTAAATACTATCTAAAACAACTATTTACAATCATGCAGAATTGCTACAATATAATGTAAGAGGTAGTCAGTTCTTTATTTAAGTAAAAGTAGTTATGAATTCAGCAAAATGGCCTCTTTGACAGTTTAAATTACACTAATGGATTATTATCTGTGCATTGACATGAGCAGCATTTAAATGTTACAGCTAGTCAATGAGGAGCTGTTAACTATAAATATTAATATAATGTTGGATTGTTTAGTCAAAAGCCATATTTTATACATGTATTATAGGTAATGGATATAAAACATGAATCTGCAAAGTAACTACAGCTGTCAGATAAAAGGTGTAAAGGAGTAGAAGTAAATAAAATGAAATAAAAAGTAGCATGACGTGGAAATACTCAGTGACAGTACAGGTAACATAAAATAATACTTGAGTACAGTACTCGAGTAAATGTAACGCTTCACCACTGAAATACATACAACAGCTACTAAACTCACGAAACTTTAATAGGCCTCTTTTTAGATCACATTCACAATGTACACTTAAATTATCGGTGAGTAATTATAGCCTCAAATAAATAAATAAAATCCAGCATTTGAGCCGCATACCAAATCTCAAATTATTACCACATCGCAGTGTTAATATTTATTAGGTGCAGTGGTAAAAGAAGTAGACTATTCACATCTTTTACTTTAGTAAAGAAGCAATAGGCTACTACAGTGTAAGAAAAATACTTATCTACAAGTAAAAGTCTTGCATTAAAAGTCTTAAATTAAAGTACACAAGTTTTAGCTCCAACATACAGCATACTTCAAGTACCAAAAGCAAAAGTACTTATAATGCAGAATGACCCATTTAACAATAACAGTATTACTTATTTATTTATTATTTATTTATTACTGTATTTTGATTAGTATAAAATGCAAATATTAAAGTAAAGTACAACTAACTCAAACTGTACTTAAGTGGAGTACTTGAGTAACTATTCCACCACTTTACATGTATCCATGTTTGTTTGTTTGTTTGTATTTTAAATATTGCTTTAAAGCAATATACTTGTGGCACACTATGATATAACATTGTTACCTAAAACCTGATGCATAAGGCAATGATACATGACATTTAAATCAATTAACTCTATGCAAAATGGTGCAGAATCCCCCTGCTAACAGACTGTTAATGCAGCAACTTAAACCCCTCAATGTAACAAGCAGACAAACGCTCACAGCTGCAAAATATTTCCTAACATCCACCCAGCATCACTAACACTTACACACTGACACTATAATGATTATTAATGAACACTTGGTGTGTTTCAGACAACAAAACACGCCGACATATTGTTGTCCAGATGTCACACCTCCCAGCAGCTGACTCTGTTCTTCACTCACATACACACACAACAGATTAACGTTAATAATCTCTGATATAATAAACTCAGCTAAATAACTCCTGTGCTGACACAAAGACCGTAAACTCACCTTTCCGCGGCGCGTCCCGTCTACCTGAGCGAGAGGCGGCCGGCCGGGTGAAGTACAGTCATATAGGACAATCTGATTGGCTGACAGGAGAGGAGACTGACGTCGGGGGGCCGAGCGGCCGCGCTGATTGGTTAGAGGGATGGAGTGATGATAGTGAGACTGCATGTTTCTACAGCAACGGCCAATCAGAGGCGAGCTTGCCTTTCATAACCTCCGCAGCGTTGAACGGACTGTATGAGGGAAGAGATGGGGTGGTCCGGAGAACTTTGAGTCGTACGTGTGTTTTCTTCCGTATTAAATGTTCTTTACAACAGTTTGTGACTCCAGAGTCAACAATGGAAATGTTGAGGAGGTTTAGAGACAAATAAATTGTGGTATAAAGTTCAATAATTATCATTTCATTCAGTTAAAGCACCACCAAGCGGATGTTTTTTTGTTTGTTTAACCCCCTTTAAGAAAAACTATAAGTACATTTCCTGCTCATAAAGGTTGCTGTTTTGCCTGAAATGTATCTACATTTATTTATATGATGTACATCCTTATTGTTATTTATTAAATATTTATTGTAACTTTTGAACTGACTATCATTTGGAAAGAAAACAGTGGCCTACTAGTGCCAGTATCACACCTGAGTTTCTGTGGCAATACCAACAAAGGTGTAGATTCTGGGGCAATGCAAGGGACATGTCCCCCTCTACATTTATAGCATGTTCATTAGTCTCCCCCAATAAAAAACATGAAAGTAGCAGACAACAAAGTATTTGACAACATTAAAGGCATATCCAGCATAAACTGATGCACTAAAAGCATAAATTGGTGCAATAAAATTTACCAGAATACAGGAAATTCAGTGTTTGATGCTCAAAATTTTCTGGCAGAAGACCTCCAAAACCCCCATTTTATATTTGTCCCTCGCCCAATGTTGAAATGAAACCAACCTTGCAAAAGAAGATACTGTTCAAAATCCAAAAGAGGTATTTTAATCCTTGATTTAAGTACAGTACAGTAGCTACTGTGGTAGTGGCACACTGTAGAAATGCTGCATTACATTCAAAATTTTACTTACTTTGAAGTACATAAAGATTATTTGCACAATGTACTTTATGATTCAGAAGTATCATGCAGCAGTTGCAGCAGAACTGCACCTATCAGTGACATATTGCTACATGGTATTTAATTATTATAACTAGTGCATTTACATGTAAGCAGCATCTTAACAGAAATGGAGATACTATTTTATATATTGTTAGGTACCATGAAACTTCAGTTAGATGCCTAGTCCCTGTGGCCAAGCAGTTCATTTTTTTTTATAGAAGTTCTTCATATAAAAATGGGTTGTTGGCCACCTTAAATTATGTGTCCATTCTCAATTACCCTGTAAGTTATTCATATTCCTTTAGTCCATAAGGGTCCTCAGATCAAAATAGGATATTTTCATAAAAATGAGTCCAAGTTGTGAGTGTTGTTTTAACAGGATAAAGTGGTGTTGTGTCAGTATGTAATCCTCAATCAAATAAATGATTCATAATTGATATATTATCTGAAGCCTAATTTTTATACAAGTAATATTCGTACTGGTTTAAATAAACAATAAATATTTGATTGTATTTCCCGTCTTTGCTGACAGTTTTGTGTGAAAGGAATTTAAGGCCTGTCCCAAATATAGGCCTGTTGATTTCAGGGATTGAAGCAAATAATAACCTGGGCTATAAATTGACGTTTTACAATTGGTTAATTATTTTATAAGATGATCATACAGTAAGTGTTGTATGTAAAATCATAATCTGATAAGTAAGCTGTCAAATAAATGTAGTGGAGTGAAAGTATAAAGTTGCACAAAATCAAAGTGCTCAAGTAAAGTACAAGCAGCTCAAAAAGTCATTTTACAACACCGCAAAACTTTTTTTTTCTCCATTTAAAAACCAAAGCCAGAGTTCTCAAATATTGAATGTCTACATGCAGACAAATTATTAAGAACTTAAACTAAATAACTTTTTTCAAAGGGAGAAAAGATTAAGTTAAGAAGAGTGTGAAACTGAGCAGGCAAATGACGCCAGCTTTACCAGGCACTAATGGTGAAGTATGAAACAGTTATAGATAAATAAATGTATTATTATTGAAGACTAAAAGGTTTGTTTTGTTTTGTTTGCCCTTATTCAAGAGGATAGATAGACAGAGATGACACGAGGAAGACAGAGAAGCAGCTACATGCTGCAAAGGGCCGTGGTTCAGACTCAAACCCTGGCTGCTACATGAAGTGTACGCTCTACCAGGTGTTGGTGAAGATTCTCAGTCATCCATGTCATAGTAATTTTAAATGTTCTATCCTACAATATAGCACTTAATGCTCTACCAGGTGAGCCATCTGCACCTGACTTCCTGTTTCAGTACTGAAATATGACACACAGCTCGTTCCATTTCAACGTTTTACTGATTTGGCAAAGTTTTAAAAACAGGTTATGTCATTTCACAGCTTTAAATACAAGAAGCATATTTATTAATGATAATATAAAACAAGTAATGAAACATTTTCAAAGTCATTAGCCTACATGACATTCCTCAATACACTGACAAGAAAACAGCGATACCAGTTACTATTATAGCAATTTTTTTTTTTCAATATAGGAGGCGCAGGAAGAGAAAGAGACTGAAGAAACAGAAACTCAAGAGTAGGTTTGGTCACTTTCCAGAAAAAGAGAACAGATTAGTAAAGTAGTAAAGAGAGACAGAAATGAGGAGACATATTAAAATTGGCACATTCATAGTATGTCAGGGTGTGCAGTAGTTTATAGGGTTGCTACACCAAAAGGAGGAGGAGGAGGAGGGTACTGTTGAAGGATAGGAGGTTAGAGTTCTGGGGACCATGCAGTGAGTTCAGGCTGTTGTAGTGGTCACAACCACAGCAAAGATGGCTGCCGGGTGACAGTAAAGCACTGATACATCCAACTGTTTTTCACGTCAAACAGCTTCTCCCTCCATCTGTCACTGTTTTTGGCAACATGAATGACCCTTCCTCCTTCACCAGAAGAGAAGTTCCACTGTTTGCTCTTTTTCAGAAGAAATGTACATTTTCTCTCGTCGCTGTTCTGAATTCATGCGGGCTAACGCAGCCGACACATCGTCACCGATCTGAAGTCAGCTCTCAAATGTATCCTGCCGAGTCCAGCTGTGCTCTGTCCAGTAACAGTACTCGAGGCATAACAACGGGGGAAGGAGAGGGAAAGCGGGGTGTAATTTGACATTCAGGCACTCTTGAACGGCCACACTGCAACACTGTAAAAGGTCAGAGGTCAGACAGAGTGCGTTCATGCGGCGTCGGACCAGGCGTCACCACACAGAGACTCAGATGCACACAAACACACATGCTCACATGTGCAAGCAAAGGAGCACCTTTAAATGCAAGCGCACACACATACACACACACTCAGACACACACTCAGACGCACACACACACTTTTCAGGATAAAAACGAAGGAGAAACAAAGATTTCAGTCCCGAATGTTTCAGTCCTCTCCCACAGATGAGATCAGTGGTCTCTCTCTCTCTCAGAGCTGGTTCATGTTAACATTACTAATGTTAGAGTCTCTTTGCAGTTATAGTAGCTTCATATCAGTAGCGTTTCAATGACACTGCAGTGGTGCTTCAAACTGGTTTGGCCAGTCGCTAGTGGCATGTCCTGCCAAGAAGGGATTAAAACACGGGTTCAATCCCCCTCCTTTGTTACAGCTCCCCCTTACAGGTAAGTGCAAAAAATCTTCATCATCATCCTCAAAAACAACAACAATCTTGTCATTTTCTTCATCTTCGTCAGTGCCTGTGCTAATGCTGCCCAAATCGAAGCATTGGCCTCATAGACAGATCCAAGATCAGTATTCAGCAGGAGAATACATTCTGCTCCGAATCAGTGGCAGGCGTCAAGAGCAGTCATAAGGGCTTGTCGATCACAGTCACACCTGCCGTTATAAACAACAAAATATTAGGAAGGTGCATCAAACACTCAAGGCACTGAGACAAACTTAAGAGTTAATACAACTGCACTGAGACAATGGGGGGGGGGGGCGTGTAGGGTGACCAACAGAGGCAACTGTGCAGTACAGCACAGATCTACTGAGACCGATAGATCAGTCTTCTCTTTCAGAGCTACATTTTATTGGAACTCAGTACCAGGTGAGATAAGAAAGTGCAACAGCTTTGTTGGTTTTAAATTCAAGATGACGTCATGAAATCAACCCCATCATGTACCCATCACACATGGACTCAAACACTTGATCTCACGTTATGATATCTTATGTCTTAGTGTTGTAGTTGTACTGTATTGAGGATTGTATTGAGGTACTGAAGCAGTGGAGTCTGTGGTGGTAGTGGCAGAGAGGAGAACCATAGACAAACTGCTGGCTATTCTGGACAATGACAGCCACCCTCTGCACACTGCCATCAGCTCTCAAAGGAGCAGTTCAGTGGCAGACTGCGGTCACTGAACTGCTCCACGGACAGACTAAGAAAATCTGAAAAGAAAATGTGTTGTCTTGCTATTGTGTCATGAATATATTGTGTTTTTATATAAAAGTGTATGTTAACAGAGAAATTATTCTGTTTCCTGTCCAGGGACTACAGATAGAATTTAGCTTATAGCTAACTCTGGTGCAGCTAAGTAACTGTGCACTGTCCCTGTTAAATATATAAAATAGATAAATCTTTTTTATCTTTCATTTTTCATGCACAGTACATGATGTAAATGTTTAACATTAATGTAAAAACAATTGAAAGAGATCAAAGTAAAATGTTTTTATGTCCTCTATAGTTACTGTTGGTAGTACTGTTACAAGTAGGAGTAGTTGTATTATTTGTATTAGCAATACAGTGCAGGTATTTTTTTCTTGATATGATACTGTTTTTTAAAATAAGAAATGATAAAAACCTTTTAGTGAATGCTTTGCTTATACAGATTGCAACAGAATCTAGGACAAGAATGGTAGTAACAGTACAAGTTAGTGTGCAGACATCATTTTTATGCACCATTATCATTTTGTTCATTTTGGTTTTTAGATTTGTTTTGGC